GTCCCCAATGTCCCTGATGTCCTCCACGTCCATCACATCCCTAATGTCCTCCATGACCTGCATGTCCCCCATGTCCCTGATGTCCCCTACATCTCCATTGTCCCCCATGTCCCTGATGTCCTCCACGTCCATCACATCCCTAATGTCCCCCCGTGTCCCCCATGTCCCCCACGTCCCCCGTGTCCCCGATGTCCCCCTGACGGTGTTGGCTCCCCGCAGAAGCTGGAGGGTTCCCGGTGCCGGGGGCAGCTCCTCATCTTCGGGGCCACCAACTGGGACCTGATCGGCCGCAAAGAAGTGCCTAAGCAGCAAGGTGGGGGCACCCCGGGCATCACGGGGGGGGACTTTTATGCATTGACATTTAATTTATATTTAATTTTTATTTATATTTAATTAATATTTGCGGGGTTTGTTTGTTTAAACCAGTTGCATATCGTAACCTGAGATGTGGAGCTGTGCTGGGGCTGCGGCAAAGCGAAATAAACGCGCTGCTTATTTTTTAATTTTATTAATTTTTTTGCTTATTTTTATTCATTTACATTTAATTAATGGGGGGGAGGGTGTGTTACAGTTACATATCAGAATCTAGGCCAGAACTTGGGGGTGCACAAGGTCTCCTGCAAAGCAAAATAAACGCACTGCTTATTTTTTATGCCTTTAATTATTTTTTCCTGCTTATTTTTAATGCATTTATATTTTACTATTATTTTTATCAATTAACATTTTTTTACAGTTGCAGAACATAATCTGGGCCAGAACTTGGGGCGTGCTGGATTTCCTGCAAAGCCAAATAAACACGCTGCTTATTTTTGATGCATTTATGTGCAGTGTTTTTTCTATGTATTTTAAATGCATTTAATTAATTTTTTATTAATTAATATTTGGGGGGGGTGGTTTTTTTATAGTTGAATATTGTCATCATGGCCATGACTTGGGGGGCACCAGATCTCCTGCAAAGCAAAATCAATGCGCTGCTTATTTTTGATGCATTTATATTCCATTTTTTTTCCTGCCTATTTTTATGTATTTACATTTCATTATTTTTCTTAATTAATTAATTGGGCAGCGGAGTTACAGTTGCATATTAGAGCCTGGGCCAGAACTTGTGGGTGCGCTTGATCTTCTGCAAAGCAAAATAACCACGGTGCTTCCTTATTATGCATTTATATTCAATTAATTTATTTCTGCTCATTTTTGATGCATTTATATTTAATTAATTGTTATTTATTTATTAATTTGGGAGGCAGTTACAGTTGCATAGTGTTCTCTTGGGCCAGAACTTGGGGGTGCCCTGGATCTACTGCAAAGCAAAACAGCAGTGCTGCTTACATTTTATGCGTTTATATTTGGGGTTTTTTATGCATTTATATTTAATTTTATTTTTTATTAATTAATATTATTAATATTTTTGAGTGTGTTGGTTTTTGGTTTTTTTACAGTTGCATATTGTCATCTGTTCCAGAACTTGGGGTGCACTGAGTCTCCTGCAAAGCAAAATAACCACACTGCTTACTTTTTATGCATTTATATTCCATTAATTTTTCTGCTTATTTTTCTGCATTTCTATTGAATTACTATTTTTATTATTTAGTATTTCTGAAGGGTTTTTTTTACAGTTGGCATGGCATAACCTGAGCCAGAACTTGGGGTATGCTGAGTCTTCTACAAAGCAAAATAACTGTGCTGCTTCCTTTTTATGCATTTATATTCAGGGGTTTTTTTTCTGCTTATTTTTAATGCATTTATATTTAATTACATTTTTGTTTATTAATTTGGGGGGCGGTTGCAGTTGTATATTGTAGCCTGGGCCAGAACCTGGGGGGGCTCTGAATCTCCTGCAAAGCAAAACAACAACTCTGCTTCCTTTTTATGCATTTATTTTCAGGGTTTTTTTTCTGCTTATTTTTTATGCATGTATATTTAATTATTATTTTTATTAATTAATATTTTCTGAGGTTTGTTTTTTTTTTACAGTCGCATAGAATAATCAGGGCCAGAACTTGGGGTGCACTGGATCTCCTGCAAAGCAAAACAACAGCACTGCTTCCTTTTTATGCATTTATTTTCAGTTATTTTTTCCTGCATGTATATTTAATTATTTTTATTAATTAACATTTTTGGAGGGGGTATTTTTTACAGCCGCAGCCGCATAGCATAATCAGGGCCAGAACTTGGAGTGCACTGGATCTCCTGCAAAGCAAAACAGCAACGCTGCTTCCCTTTTATGCATTTGCATTCAGTTATTTCTTCTGCTTATTTTTTCTGCATGTATATTTAATTATTACTTTTATTAATTAATGTATTTTGAGATGGTCTTTTTTACAGTTGCATAGCATAATCAGGGCCAGAACTTAGGGTGTGCTGGATCCCCTGCAAAGCAAAATAACAGCGCTGCTTCCTTTTTATGCATTTGCATTGTTAATTTTTTCTGCTTCGCTTTTATGCGTTTCTATTTAATAACTTTTTTTTCCCTTCCTTTTTGTTGTTGCTACAGTTGCATATCGTAATCTGGGCCAGAACTTGTGGGGGCCGCACAGGTACGGGTGTCTCTCAGGTATTCAGGTGCGGAGCGTGGTGTCGGGACCCTGCGCTGCGCACAGCCTGCTCATCACCGCCGAGGGCAAGCTCTGGAGTTGGGGTGAGCGGCGAGGGGGGGAGCACCCCCCCCCAAAAAAAAAAAAAAATCCCAATGTGATGCCAGGAGGCTTCGTCCTCTCGTTTTGCTGCCAAAAAAAAAAAAAAATCACTATTTTTGGCTAGGTCGCAATGAAAAAGGGCAGCTGGGCCACGGGGACACGAAGCGGGTGGAAGCGCCGAAGCTCATCGAGGTGTTGGGGGGTGAAGCCATCGTGCTGGCAGCCTGCGGCCGGAACC